ACTAGCCAACAGCTGCGATTACGGACAGTTAACGTTATATATGATGTAAATATATTGAGGGTTTGTCAGGTCTTGCAGGCCATAAAACCCACTTTAATGACCCCACGTGCTCTTCCTGCACCACTCACTGGTCCTGCTTTGGGCAATTGGCATAAATAACCCTCAAAACTTCAAAATACGTGGCAAGAGAGCTAAAAAAAGAGGGGTTTGTGTAAAAAGCAACATAGTAACCACAGTAACTCGCAATGTGGCCCATACGGTCAAGAAAGCGAGTGTAGAAATTGAAAGAAGCGTGGAAATTTACTTTGAATCTCCAACATAGGTGAGTGAGACCATTCTAAAATGAAAGCACTTTTGAAACAGTAGTATAAATTGACTGGCTGCCTGTTTTTATTTTCAGATTAGTGTGTATATAATGTTAACAGTCATACATAATCTTTAGAAATATTTCGATTAAAATGTTCCGTAACATTTCAAATAAGTTACATCGAGCGCGGAGAAGGCATGAATTAAAAACTAAAATATGCCAAACAAACAGGAAAGGAGCCTGAGTGTAGAACGAGCCAGAAAATTTGTACACGCAGGCTTTGCTTGACACGGGCCTGGATTACATGATTTCGGCGCGTAGGGTGACTGACATCATATGTCTCATTATCTAAATGACAAATTTCAACAATAATGTAGTAGCATGAGCAATTCACTCTTAACGTATTTAATTATGTGCTTCACACGATGGACGATTAATAACGCTGTTGTATCATACTGCAAATGCATTTTCGAAAAATAATTCGTGTATTCATAATTTAGTTGGACAGTATTTGATTAAGTGTGCAAACAATTTTATTGTTTTTATGAGTTCAGTGTACCAAAACGTCACTTTGAAATGTTTGTGTAAACTTCCGCCGATCTGTTAAAAAAGGAAACAGTTGTCAGTGTCTGATGGGTGAGAGGAAGTGCTGTAAAAGTTTATTGGGGTCATAAAGTTTTATGTGCCTCCGTTTAAGGGCTACTGTAAATAAGTGACCAGAGCGTTAAGATTCAATCATGTCTCATCAGTGTAAGTATACACATTCAGACTTGGTCCTCGATGGACGCACGAATATTTATCAAAACCATATTAAATTCGCGTAGAACGATTTCCTCTCTCAACTTTTTTATCAAATGGGCCTTGAGTGCAAAAATGCACTGAAAGACTAATTTTTTGTTCCTGTTGCTTCAACAGACAAAAAAATAATGTTAACAATAGGATATTCTTTACGGTTAATCAAGTTTATTTACAATGATACCACATTGGACGTTTTATTGGACACAGATGGCTTTTAACCCAGAACTGAAGAAACTTTCTGATATGTTGCCACTATTGACAATTTAATCTTATTACTGTAATAATACATTACTGACTGGAAAATTATCCATGTGGCTTAGCAGTGAAACTTCGAAAACAAACGGTTGGAATAACAGAAATAATGGATCATAGAACAAATGCGGTTCACATAAAAGTAGGTCGTGTAGCTTGTTTGGTATGAGAGGTATCAATAAGCCACTCCTTACAGTCGTTACAGGAAGCCCTATATATGCTCCTCAAGTGTAGAGTGTATAGAAACAAAAGTCTGTGTACCTGCCTGAAAAAAATAGTCCCCAAAAACACAGTAAAAGAGCAAATTGTTCTGATTGCACAGTATTTAAACAGACATAATCGTCAAGAGAACATTACCATTTGGCTGCTGGCTGACAGACAACATGATACACAGCGATTAATATGACACTATAGTTGTTGCATTGTCATCACCTGCGGTTTACCATCCTTGTGTGGATATTATAGTTGTATAGATGTATTTACGACAGAAAGTACAATGGATAAAAAGACAAGTCCCATCAAAATGCAATGGGCAAATTGATGAATGTTCAAGCAAAGCACCACATTATTTGCACTTACATTTAAGTCAACGTAACTGGACGCAGGCCTTGGTATATTATGTAGGTTATTGATACAAGTGATTTTAGTAAAGCATATTCAAATAAAGTTTAAGCTCATACATTATTCAAATTAGCACCTCCCGCACTCTGGAGAGGGAGCACTATCAATAAATATTGAAAATATGGACATATTCACATAACAACATGATATTGTAGACAAATGAAAGACATCAACTGTTGTCAACAAGAAAATCTATTTTAAATCGTTTGTTGTTTCAGTACAGCTTAACACTGCCTTTATTTTCAAGCTGAAGCCGTACACCACGTTATTATAGTCCTCCTTTCACTTTCAACTTTGAGTCCTTCTTCCACTTCATGCGACGGTTCTGGAACCAAATTTTAATTTGGCGCTCGTTCAAGCAGAGGTTATTGGCAATCTCGATACGTCTGCGACGTGTGAGGTATCGGTTGAAATGGAACTCTTTCTCCAACTCCAGAGTCTGGTACCGGGTGTAACTGGTTCGTGACCTTTTACCATCAGATTCTGAGGTGGCATCAGAAAGATATTGGGTTACCTTATTTGTAAAATTTGATCGACTGTCGTCCTCATGCATATTATTATACAAGTAATTTTCATAATCATTGATGAAGTTGCCACCAAACACAGTCCATAGAATGTAATATGAAAATATCAAGCATTATGAAATCCAAAATGAGTGCACAGGTGGTATGACGCTAATATTTATTTATTCTGAAATAAGAAAGTATCATGCACAGAAATAACACAAACGTAACGAAACAATCATAACTGTGAGAAGGCCACGAGCATACTGACACAAAATATTGTAAAAGCTGAGCAAAAAAGACACTGCGATTGCAATGCCTCACTATTTAGAGAATGCAAATTGACAATAGTTTTGCTGTACTTTACAAAATGCATGTGTATGCAAAGATTCGTTTGAAATCCCACTTCACTTAGTCTAAATAACATGTTAACTCCCTTTAATTCTTAAAGCAAGAAATAATACGTAAATTTACATGTTATGATTTTTTTGCTTTTCTTAAACCAATTATTTCTCCATAAATTTGACCGGAGATCACCTCTTCACAGTAACAGGACAGGTTTACGAGCAATAGATGCCTTTGTCATAAAATTTACGGCCGCTAGTTTTATTATTTCCTGCGTTTGGCCTATAAAACTCTAGAGGAAAAATATGGAGCGACAAAACAGGGTAGGAAGGAGATGCAATGACGAGGATGAGATGCGTGCAGTTTTCCTCTTCTAAAACAAACTTTAAACGTAACTTTACCGTGGCTCATGTGTAGCTTTGTCATCCACGGATATATCTGCGGCTGCGACTGGTTCTGACGCTGAGTCGAATTAGTTTGTTGCTTTATCGCTGAAGTAGTCTCCATTTTGATATCGTCTGTGCGGCTCTTGCCGCTGGGCTTCTCCATAACTTCCATATTCCCCTCGGCTTTTTGGCTCAACAGTCCGTGACTGAGAGGATTGTACCCGTGAGTGCTTACAAAGCTACGAGAGCCCAGAGCTGAACAGGATTGTGTTCGCTGAACTGCTGCACTGCTCCTTGCACGGTCGATTGTGTTTATCGCCTCCCGTTTCAAAGAGTTGGAGGGGATTTGAGAACTGAACGATCCGCCGAGATCAAGTCCTTCGTACGCGTAATTGGACTCGTGGAACTCAGAGTGAGCTCCATAGTTGCCAAAAGTGTGCATTCTACAAGAGGAGGCGTCTTGCGTTTGCTTAGAAAACGACTTTCCAATGTATGAGCTCATTCTATTTCCAAAAAAATATAACCTTGGAGAGACTCACAAAAAGCACTCGGTCACGGCAGAGACGGAATCAGCTAATAAAGTATACATAAGTTGTTTAGACGTTTTATTTGTTTATTGAGCTTTATTTGTATTTCTAGAGGACGTTAGGTTTGTCCTAAAAAAGAGCAGGATTTATAGGTGGAGGAAATCATTTTCTTTTTTTTCTTGATACGACGTGTAATGCCCAAATATGGGATGTTTAAATAGAATCACGTGCAGCTCCTGGCCACTCATAAATTGGCTTGATCCCCAAGAGGTTATTGATAGACAGGGAAACGTGTCCGATAACTTCTCAGTATGGAAATCATCTAAGGGTCCGGGCTAAAAAGGGCGAGACCGTTAGACAAGAGCGTCATCTGGCGTCTAATACTGGACAGAGCGGCCTCACACACACACACAGACTTGTGCAAAGATGATGGACAAGATACGATGCGATACGATGTTATGACACATCAAATGACAAGGCAATATGAAAAATATGGAGTATACTATTATCACATTAGTTACATATATGACAAATGTGTCTATCTCCAGTTTCACAGTAATGTCTTGAGTTTTTGAGTGTTTTGTGTGTGTGTGTATTACTTTTTTCTTCAGAATTTGAGAAGTTATGTCTATTGTGATCATAAGAGAACTTTACACTGCCTCAATACATGTGCATTTGTTGCAGCGGCATCCCAAAACCCACGTTATTATTTATCGCAGAACAATCGATTCAGCGTTATGCCACTAGATGCAAAGCAAACGTGGTTAGAAAGGTTTTTTGTCAGTCAAACATTGTCGCCGTGTCATGAAATAAGCAATGCTTTATTTATTAAATGAAACTTGTTAAGTCGTCACATACATTAATCATTAGGTATATTAACAATAATTAGGTGAATTATTCCATTCAAATAATTGTAGTTTGGACTAATTCAATTGTAGTTAAATTAGTACAATTACAGAATAAACCAAACTCCGATGTAACCTGAATTGTATTTGTTGTTAATGTGAATTTGAATCAAAAACTCTCAGAAATATGTGGGCCTAAAAGTTCGTAAATAAAAACTTCTTCAAAACGGAGAAGTGTATAAAGCCTTATCATTTTTACTCAGTTCTGAACCCCTTTATGGTGCGTGAAGAGCGCAAAGATGGTCAAAATTAAAACAATACAGTTTTTTGTTTTCAAGAATTTTATTAAATAATACACAGTTTACACAAACAATATAATTGCTTAACAAGGTATATGTTTGTTTTCATATGGGTGTGATTCTCACTTTAAGACAAGTTTATATGCATACAACTACAAGTATAATGAAATGTATTTTTTGAAGTTCTCTCAATAGCTAATGCCAGTACAGCGGCATTTTGAACAACAGAACACTGACAGGGCAAAGGCAATATTAAGAAAAAAGAAAAAGACAAAAAATGCATTAAGGATTTAGGTAGTATAGTTCATCCCGTCAGTGCTTGTTTCATTGTACAAATATGCATCCACAAAAAAATTGAATGTGCATATAAGAGGTTTCCTTCACTTCTGGAATGCTTCGGGTACTGTTCAGAGGCTTAAGGGAAGACGTAGCCTACTAATCAAATTCGAATACATTTTCATCTAATGTAATTTCTACTAGCCTATGCAACATGATAATACTAGAACCACACAAATAGTTCATCTGTGGCATTGTCACCACGCAGCCAATGAGATATTTTCAATACAAAGAGAAGTGATTTGTTTCAACATGTGTATATGTTAGTGGCGTGGTGGTTGTTGTAGAGCTTGTGTATGGTATTCAGGTCGGAGGAGGAGGGGGCAGTCAAAGGAATAGCAGAGTATACAGTCCATGCATTAATATTTGCAAATTCTCCGAGTTTAGGTAGTTACGTTGCAGTTAACAGGCGTTCGAGAACGAGAAATGGATTTCCTAATCTTTTTTTTTAGCTTCCTCGGTTTCCTCCTCGGTCTCCTTCTCGGTCTCTTGAGGAGTACCCGTTGATTCGCTCCCCGGTACAGTAGAAGTTAGATTGGTCTCTTTCTTCCATTTCATGCGCCTATTCTGGAACCAGATTTTGATTTGACGCTCGGTTAGGCACAGAGCGTTGGCGATCTCGATGCGTCTGCGTCTGGTTAGATACCGATTGAAGTGAAATTCCTTTTCCAGTTCCAAGGTTTGGTATCTGGAGTAAATCTGGCGACCCCTCCTTCTGTCTGACCCGTACCCAACTCCTGTTGTGGAGAAAAGTGAAAATAAGTTAAATAGTTCACACACAGAGAAATTCTTAATTATAAATGCTATTTAAAACACACGTTTGAAATCCCGGGGGAATAATTTACTCTGTGCGTATTTACAATTTTAAAAAAATATGTATAACGTTACTAATATAACAATTTGGCAAAATAATGTATTTACGCAGCACTTGACGCATATTGCAGTCACAAAGCAATGCGAAACGTTAACATTTCGATTTTCAGTGTTTCTAAAACATTTCTTTCAACTAACTTTGCTATCGTGTTTTTCTTTTCAAACAGTACATCGGAAGAGCTAAGATACATTTTAACATACTAGTGCATGCTCTTAAAATGGCTCAAAATGTACTTTTTGTTGCATATTTTTCTAACGCACTCACACTTATTGCACAAGTTTTTGAAATCATTTTGGCACTCGAGTATTAAAGGAGGTAGCCAAATGGGATTCCCCTCTCTGGAAAAGGGGGCTTTTATAGTCTGATGATTTAGTAGTGGTTTATGAGGCCATAAAATGTAGCTACTCTTTTCATAGAACGTATCGTAAAACAGACCAATTCCACCAGGGTATGTCCCAAGTCGCAGTAAAAACTCACCGCTGTGCGAGTTCATGCGCTGCATCCACGGGTAGATCTGAATGTTGTTCCCTTTCTGTTCCTGTGTTCCTGCACGAGCTTGTTCCAGGTTGTACTCCTGGGCAACGTGGCTCTGCGCATTGAGTCCCATACTAGTTTGCCTGCAACTGGGAAGCACATCCTTATCTTGAAGAAACACGTTAGATCCATACTCGTACGGTCCTCGACTTGATCCAAACACAACGTTATCTTGAGGTGAATAGAAAGGGGACGCATAAATCCGGTTTTGGGTCACTGTGGTGCCATACGACGAAAAATGTCTGACTGAATCATATGTGGTCGTGTTCAGTGGCATGTTGGGCAAAACCTCTTGCCCACCAGATAAATGGCACGATAGCGACGGGTTCGCGAAATACGAATTCATACCTTTCCTATCGCCCTCTCATCAACTCACCCTCCTATCTTATTTCCCCTCTCTTAATCTCACACTTTCTTTCTTTGTGCTCTGCTTCCTTCTGTCATATACACACGTATCCAGCCTGCTTTTCTAACTCTCTTTCAAATGAACTTCAGAAGGATTTCAATAATATTAATTTCCAGTCTCCGGTTAAGACGCGCAAAGCAAGTGTTATAGCCAAGGCTTGGCTCATGGAAGGACAATATGACAGCGTCACCTGACCACTTTCAGCCAATTGAATGCGCTGTGTACAGAGGAATATCGAGCTTGTAGCTTCTTATCCATGTGGCTTCAGTTGATAATGTTTAAGTAAACACACACAAAAATACAGAATATGCACTCACACGAACAATTATGCCTTTTTGTGCATTAATCACCGAGTTAATCTGTCCCATGCGCCGGTACAAAGCTTATCCACGTGTATTGTAATGATACATTTACACTTGCGTTTTACAACGAGCTAATTTTCTTCTTAATGAATTACCTGTAAGATCACTTTTACAGTTGATTGTTGTCGCTGACTTATACCAAGCTGTATATATTTATATTTTATAATATGACAATACTAATCATAACTATATGTAGCCTATTTCTTCTCGACGCAACAACTTTATTACTTCATTACAACTACTCGGTGGATCATGTAACTCAAATTTTAACCTCTAAATAGAACCCTTTGTTTTAAAAAAGAAAATGACCAAGGGCTAATTGCTACAAGGCTGCTCCCCGCCTTATCTACACAGATACTGTTTGCCCTCCCTTTTTGAAGACGAATTTCATTCATTCAAAAAACTGTGAATAAATCTGCTGATGCACATTTTACATCATATTATTATAAATATTTGCGGCATTGTCGTCAGTCAACAAGTTAGAGGACTACACTATTCTTTGTGTTATTCAGTAGATATTTCCCTATAACGTTTGTTTCTCTCTCCGATTTCCTCGGGCTTTTATTGCGCTAAAGGGGAAACGTCTGTTCTTTTCCTTTCCCCATTTGTAATGTATTGATAATTTCAATGGTAAAAAGAACCTGAGTAAGGAGGGGGAAGGGGCATCTTACTAAAGAATGCGTCAAACGCGCCTTGGTGCCATAAAAGTCACAAAACCAACTGAGGACTTCCAGCTCTGAGGCAATTATCCCTTTGAATGTATGGGGGCTGTGCAGCGAGTCTCTTATCTTGTGGACAGAAAGCTGCTCATTTTTTTTAGCATGTAACTTTGTAGGGTATGCAGAATGATTATGAATAAAAATAATACTGAGACATCTTTACCAAATTTAAGTACTTTTGACTATTAATTTAATTTAGATGGTTTATTTTTTACAGAATTTCTTACAGTGATAATTTATGCAAACGATCTGTTGAACAATACAAATATAACTGTTCTGCTTTATTAAATAATTGCAGCTACATTAATGGAAAGCTCAGTTTATGTTATCATGTTTAAAGAATCAGTGATGGGAAAAGGACTCGTTTTAACCGAATGGTTATGCTCCATGCCCTTAATGCATGCCACATGACGGAACGTGTGAGGCCAAAAACAGTGGTTTAGAAAGAGGTGCGCAAAACACGAGATTGACAGAACAGTAAAATTTACTTCCAGCCCGACATTGAGAAAAGCATTTAGCAGCTATAAAACAGGCTAATCTGCTTAACGACTGATTAAATGCATACAATATTTCTTTATATCCTAACGTAGCCTACCTACAACCGGGATCAATCAATATCAAGGATTAATGTTTTTGATGGGTTGTCATATTTTGGACAAAATTTAAGAGCGACAAAATGTAACTCTTCTAGGCAAATCTCTACAAGGAGAATATCTAAACACCAATATGGTAAGTGCTATTTCATCAGTTTATGACTGCTGCATATGAATATGATTAAATATCTTCCGAAGTTAATTAATTGACGTTTATACTAATAGCTAGTAGTAGTAGTTGTAATAATAATAATAATAATAATAATAATAATTTTAACCGGGCTGCAATACAAGTAATTAAAAAAATAAAAATAAAATTACGGGCCACAAAATGAATACACTAAATATAGGCTAGTAGTCATTATGGCGATGTGAACCATAACATATTACTATGATTTAATTTATACAATATTACACCATGTATACTGTGGAAAGAAACTAATTAAAGTAATATATAAGCGTAATAAAAATATTTCTTGCGTGAAAAACGCGTGCTCACGTTTTACCATATTTCATTCATAGCCTTTTTAAGACTGTGGAAATTAAACAGTTGCCAGTTCAAATATTTGAAATGCAATAAACTGTTTTTTACAGCAATAATTATATTTGTAATTATTATTTTTTTAAATATAATTTAGTTAGCCTACATTTTCATTACCCTAGTACGATATGCCATTGATACGCAAAAATATTTAGATAGTCTACAGGAAAGCACGCTGCTAAAATCAAACTAAAGAAGCATTATCATTTCGGAAATCGGAAATCATTTAATTGTTTAAGTAGATGACCAGACTATAATCTTCGACGTGTAGTTTGGCGGAATTGAGATCAGATACTAAATGTAGGTTGTATCTATATATCTGAATCTTTGATGATCAACGACTTTGAACTGTAAGCCTTTGATGGGAAGATTTTTAATAATGTGATCTATTTTACAGCATCAGTCTGGTGAATGAAGTAGCGAGTAAAACACACCACACTTAGTCTGCAGTTGGTATGTTGATGTGACTGAGAGAAAGAGCTTTAAGTGTTTTATTGCAGCCCTTAAGACAAATCGCACGGTTGTGTTTTAGCGTTTGAAGAGGCAATAAATAGACATCCCGTTTGGCCTGTATTCTCTTTACACTCTACGAAACTACGCACTAATGTGCGCCAAAATCGTACTTACTTCTAATGCGTAATATACGTGATATGATGATCTGGAAAAAAGCAAGCAATGCGCATCCTAACTGTGCTCGGTAATGGCCTAGTCTGCACATTCTCGAGAGTTAAATGAATGTTATCATTGGTCTATTTATTTGTAACGGATGTTCACAATTGCAAATTCCAACGATGAGTCTTCTAGCTTTCTTATCCAAGCCCAACTTTCCTACCCTGTCATCTATGTCGATGTATCTATGCAAAAACAAAATCCATAATAGTAACGTGACAACTGTAACAGAGCTTCATGTGCAGCTAAGCACTTATAACAACACACGACCCGAAGGGGCATTATGGGTTTTAACTAGCACAAGATAATTCTGTGAAATTATGTGGCCGCGTAATGACCTCCATGAATAAGATGTTTTGAAGTAGAGCGAACTCACATTGCCCTGCGGTTCTTGTAAGGAAATGTTTGGAATTGAAAGTTCGCCTGGAATTTGTTTTCATTTTCGTGGCAACTCTGAATTATGCCCTTCTATGTTTCAAATTCAATAGCGGTGGCAGACACGAGACTGGCTCAAAGTTTACACAAATAATAGTCAGATGGTAATAAATGTGTCAATTTCATAAACCTGTTTAGAACATTGCTATTAACCTTAAGAATAACTGTAATACACAAATGAATAAATCTTATGCACCTTATATACGTACAAGCACAAGGATGAGTTAATAGGAAATAGACTCCATTTTTAATGGCAAACAAAAGACAGTCATTATTTCGAGGCAAAGAGGAGCTTCACAGTAGATCAGCCCCGCCCTCCACTCGCTTTCTGTCTCTCACTTACACACAAATACACACATGCACATCGACGAACCATATGCAAGCCCACACAGAAGCATTCTGCCTTAATAAATAACCTCTCAAGCTTTAAAAAAAAATTGAGAAAATGAGTTCACACAAACTTAGCTTTAAATGAGACGATCTTTCTTTATTTAAAAAATCGCTGTTCTTAACACTTCTAATGTTACAAATAAACAGAACACAAATAAAAAAAGTTATTTTTAACAATTCCATTACTAAAAAATGTCTTTACCAGCAGCAGATGCATGTTCATAATAACTGGTTTTATTGCTGACATTTCTTTGCTTCCCCCCCATTCCAGCCTCATATGTGGATTTCAAGAGGCCCATGACGGAAGATCGCAGCTCTAATTTTTTGATTCAGTGGAGTACCAACGGATTTTATTAACATTCTATCCCATAATAACATAGCTCATTGGCTATTCAATCTAAAGCTTCATGTTTGTCAGTATTGTTTTATTATCATGGCATAAGATGGCAATAAAACGAATTAAAAAAGTAAACGGACTGTGTTTCTGTAATTGTGTTTTGAAATTGTATTATTTAATAATAATTAATTTATCACTAATATTAATTAGTAAAAAGCCACCATACACACATAATAAATATTATGAATATTTCTTTAAATATTTTTTCAAATGAGTATATTAATATGAATCTACATGATGAGAACGCTATTAAAGCAAAGCTTTTGATGCAAATGTATGATGCAAATTCTAGTAAAGACACATTTTTACATACATAGCGACACCAGCAAATGCCAAACACATTAAGATCTGAATTTTATGTGGGCAGTTGCTCTTCCTGACTTTAGGCTCTGTATAATGCATTGCATATGGAGCAGGCACAAGGTGGCAGTGTTGTTTGATTTAGTCCTCAAGGAATGACAGTGTTGGATGATTGAACACGTGTGCGTGAGAGAGAGAGAGAAAGAGAGAGAGAGAGAGAGAGAGAGAGAGAGAGAGAGAGAGAGAGAGGTTGTTGATCCTGATTCCGTAAAAAATAAGATTCGCCTATATCGTTTAATGAGTTGTTTGCTATGTACCACAAGGCCTTTATGCTTTACAGGTATGCGAGTAGGTGATCAAGTGTAAATGATTGTGTGAACGTTTGACACTCTTTTGTCATTACAACTCGGACACAACCAGGATACATCATTTTGAATACAAGTTAACGAGACTAGTTACATTTTTGCCCTGTCTTTCAAAATATAACTCACTCATTAATATCTCACTCATAAATAATTAACATTTTCCAATGACTTATAGCAATGAATTAGGGCTACACTAAAATGTAATCTATAGTCTATGACAGAATACTCATAGTCCGACGAGTGCAAGTCATAGTCCCATAATATGGGTTGAATACAGTTTTTGGTAAAAGGCCCGACATTCATCAGTGTTTTCTATGTATCTCATTTGCACATTTTTATAAAGCTATAGCCTACTATTAAATCATGCAGAGTAAACAAATGCAAGCTCAAGTATCCAGTAGCCTATGCACCCGTATCAAATAACCACAATCAAATACAAAACCTGACCAAGCGTATATTTGACTGTTTGAAAA